CACTTTTTCAAAAATATTTTCTTTCTTTCTCTGTCTCATCCTCATTGCTGTTTGCCTCTAAATCTTCCTCTACATCTCTATTCTTTCTCATCTGTTCTCGAAAGAATTAATTTCATCATAGAAGTGACAGAGTATTAAATAGAGATAATATAAGCAAAAGCTTTTTATAAACTAAACAGGAATGGCATGTTCGATGAGTGTTATTTTTGCTCCATGTTGGTTTTTCTTTTACTTTTCTAGAAATTTTCCCTTTTAAATGTTATTTTATAAAATAAAGGCAAAACACAATTAAATCCTGTCAATGGGATCCTTAGGGAGAGATGAGGAGGCCAAGAAGAATGGGATGGTAGAGAAACAATTACAGGGGATGGTAAGAGCCAGGGCAGTTCTGATGCCCTGGGGAGCTTTCCTCCCAGTGGGTGGAGGCCGCAATTGGCACGTTGTAACCTTTTCCTTCTCAACTGGAGAGAAAACAGGAGAGTGTACCTCAATTCTCAAACTGTAACTAATTGATTTTCAACTAATTTAAGCCTCTAGCAAACCAAGACCAAAGGCAGACCCCAGGAAGGGTGGGAGTGGTAAGGAGGGGGGTGCCAAGAGAGCCTGGGGCTACAGAGACCCAGAATGAGGAGGAAAGGCCAAAAAACCCTGGGATGAGAAGGGAGGAGAGAGAGTGGTGACATTGCAGAAAATAGAAGAATGAAAGGGAAGGAGTGAGAGGTGGCGGCCAAGGCAGTCCCAAGTCATTCTCACTTCCAGCTAAATACTTCTCATTAAACTTTCAAAACTTGGTATTTGTGAATGACCATTAAAATTTGCAAAAACATGTTAAACTATGATTATAACTATTTCTGGCAACCCAGAGTTTGTCTGTCATGCCAGTCACTTGACAATCAACCATCCTTAAAGGAGAACAAGAATCCCGTTGCTCATGATTATGAATGTGAAGGTTGCTGGAGAAAAGAGAAAAAGGACTCCACACTCAGCAATATTTTCCTCTTCAAAAGTTAAAACTTTAACAGAATGATTGTGGCATTACCCGTTATTAGCATTAGTTACTCCAGGCATAATTTATGAATATGTACTATAATGGCTTTAGATTATCTTTCCTTCCAACCTATCCCCCTTCAAAAAAAAAAAAAATCTTCCAAATGTTTATGGGTGTGTTTATCTTACACAAGTGTTAATAACTCTGTTGGAGAGACTACACAGATAGGCATCTTTAGGTAGATTTGTATATAAATTCCTCTCCACTGGGCACTTGATTCAGCCAAAAACAACAATAAATATCAATGATGTCTTTCAAATCTGTCAACTGAGAACATAAGCATATTTTTTCCCAGTACCAAGAGAACTTAATGATTGAGGAAGCAGGCAAAAAAGGTTCAATTTGAAGTTTTTGAAAGTGTTGTGTTTTGCTTTGTTTTTTGTCATTATAACATACTAATATTATGTTCTTTTAAGATATCTAAAATATTAAACAACACATTTAAATATTTTCATGCTTGGAATAATATAGTCTTGAAATATATCTAACACTAAAAAACCATTAATAAGCTCAAAGTTCAACTTTTTCAGAGGACTATGTAGATCCAAATAATAATATAAAAGTAATTTTCCTGTTTTTGCTGCTTTTTACCTCCTCTAAAACATCTAGTGTTATATTATGGTCATGCTATCACCAAGTAATCAAATAAAATTGGCTTCTCACTAAAAGATCTTAAAAATACACTATATGTTTTCTTTATGTAAACAAGAGATAAATATTGTAAGCAAATTATCTAATCATGCTTTTAACTTGTATTGGTATTTAATACATATACTAACACTTAGCACTTTTGACAAAAAGATGGTTAAAAAGAAAAAAAAAAAACTTACCAGAAAGACATTGTGTTACTAACAACATATTATATTGACAAAGCAAAAATGTCACTGATATTCAACAGCTTTAAAGAAAAAGCAAAGAATTCAACTTATAAAATTTAATACTATGAGACTGATAAAAGTGGTCTAAGAATAAGGAATATTTCTCTTCACACAATCATTTCTCTTTGTTTCTTCAAAATGAACAGATCACTAAAATAAAGGTTAAAATGATGTAGTTGGTTTCATATTCAGATGTTTGCATGCCTTAAGCAATTTATTTACATTTTATTTTTCTTTTAGTAAATTCAAATCTGTTTTTTACTTATGAATATAAAGCTTATCTCATCTGAATTTTAAACAGTAGATATTTTGTTAAGTGTGATTCTGAGTTTGAGTTAACTTTAATTGTTCTTCGTGAGCAAAACTATGTTGAAAAAAAGAATTTGAGTGACAAGGTAACTGTAGAAAATCCATTATTTGACTTGAAAAGGACAACAAACAAGCATTTTTTAAAAGGATGCTACTAGATCTTTTTCATGTAATTCTTCTAATTATGGGAAATGTCAACAGATTCTTTTCACATATTTAAATATCCAGGTGGCTTCCTCGTTACAAATCCCTTGCCTATTACTAATTTGACTCATTTGTACTTAGTCTCAATTACATGTATATCTTTTAAGATACTGAAAAAAAAGTCTTCTAAGAACATGAAATAAACTACAGTTAATATTTGCTAATGGATGTTACATTAAAAAAGTACTCATACTCTTATTGCAACTAATAAAGTTATTACACATTCACCTTTTCTCAGTATGCTGATTAGCTTACTTTATAATAAAAGAAATGTGAAAGTTAAAGCCTTTTACTGAATAGTGATCAGTTATAAAGTTTGGATGTATTAGAAGACACGGTCATTAATTAAACCACAATGAAGCTGTGGTTTAATTTTCCTTAAAGTCTACCAAGAAAAACTCACCTAGTATCAGAATCAGATTGTCAGTAATTTCATGTAAGACGGTTTGGAATTATTAAATAAAGAAGAAATAATACAGCTTGTTATTGGGTATAAAGCAATACTCAGCAATTCAAGCATGATAAAAATAAATATACAATTTCTGTAAGGCTTATAGCTAACACTTTCTCTAGAGTCAAATGAATAATTGTGTTTCTTCATATAGACGATAAACTAATACACTGCTATGTTATTATAATCTAAACGATGTAACCAAAATGTCATTTGTTTTAAAATGTGTTCCTCAATAATGAAAATGTTCTAGGAATCAATGAATAAAACTATTATTGGCTTTGACTTTCTTATTCTATGTAGATTTACAAAGTAAACACATAAATTCAAAAATCATGCTTACACTTCTCTTGTGAATGATCAGAACAATTCTAATAAAATAAATTATGACATTCATGACTGAGCTACTGTTTATTAAAATATGTAACATAGCATATCCTTCTTTGTCAGATTTTAGATGATCTGACCTGATTTTCTCAATGATTTATAAATATATAAATTTTGCTACGTTGAAATTTTTCTATTAAAATATTAAAACTAATTTGAATTCTTGAATACTACTTTAGAAATGCTACAAAGTGAAAGGTACAACAAGCTACATTTGCATGTTCCTTATACTAGGTAAAAGCAATCAAATTAATTTGAATTTAAGCTATATTTTAATGGCCAAAATGTTCCATGTGAAGTCTGTTAATTACATGTAAAAGAAAAGGCCTCCAGGACACCTGATTAGTGCAACAAATGATGACTTACTACAACTTAATAATGAGAGCTTTGTCTCTAGTAACATAAAACTTATGATTTATTAAGTACCTTATCCTTCATGCTAGAATTGCTAAGAGCATATGAGCAGAGTATATGAAGCAACACATATAAAAGCATCCATGTGTTATTAAGATTTGTTGATATCTGACTTTTCAAAGAATATTTCCTTTGAAATGTCATATAAGGAAGTTTTTAATTAAGTGTTTAATAAAACATGTTAATTTTAAGTCAAAGCAGATTGCATTTTTAAAACAAAGCTCTAAAAGTTCTAACATCATAAAGTCCTCAATTCTTCTCAGTGGATTAAATATGTTGACAGAATTTTTAATCTTTAAAAATAAAATAGGTTCAATGTTATTTTCCTTTGAATGCCAGAAGATAGTAAATTTCACCTTCAATTTTTATTAAAACATTTAAAGAAAACAATGGCCCTTATAAAATAATTTAAAATTGGTAATCTTATAATATTATTTTGAGAGGGAATATTGGGAGCTAAATTATCATTTGACATTGTCAGTATTTACAAACCACCATAAAGCGCCAGCTTCAACTAAGACATAATTTTAAACTTTTTTAACTAAAATTGTTGCTATTCACAGAAAATTTCAATTAACTATTTTATATCACGTAGAAGGAAAATTTTGTATAGGTAAAGACCACTAAAGCATGTCTTATATTTTTCTTGCCTGTGAAAAAAATCAAGAAGGTATAATATAACGTACTTTACTCATTACATTTAAGAACTGTTAGACTGAAACTTTATTTCTGAAATATTTATTACAGAATTTCAGAATCCCTTTCTTCATTCCTTGATAGTTATCTTTTATGGTGCTATTCGATCTTGGTTAATTTTATATCTGTATTTTTACAGTAGTTGCCTCCCTTAGGTGAGAGATTTTTAAGTAGTATGTGACTATATAGTTATATGTGCTTTAAATCCCTTTGGGAAAAAAAAAAGTGGTTCTGAATGTCACTTTTACTTTCCCATCTGCAAGTGGTTTTTCTCTTTTTTGCCCATAGCATAGCTATCCTCATAAATTTCCCTGTTTTTAGACGACTGCCTTTGCACTCATGTATTTAAGCGAGGTTGAAATTTTAACAAAATCTGAAAATACTCACACTGTAAGTGTTTAATTTTAACTATTCATATTAAATACGCATATATGACTTTTGCCTAAGGCAAAATCTTACACAGCATCAATGAAAGAAAGAAAACAGAAGCTGGAGAGGAGAGTTAGAGAAAATGACTTTATATAAACATGACCACCTACCAAGCAGCTCCTTTACCATTAGGAAAACTTCCACCTTGTCATAGCATAGATGAACAAACAAATGAACAACATACCTAAGTTGACAAAGCTCATGACCATGTCAGCATCATTCAGAAAGTTGGTATCATGGAGGCTGGCTAGAGGAGGGCTCTGGGTGGTCAGAGGAGTCGTCCGAGATAACTGTATGTGACGAGGATACCCATTGGGAGAGGCTGGGTATCCCTTTCTTGCCCCTCTGGTCTCTTCTGCCAAGGATGCCCTCACTGAGTACTCCGACTCTTCAGGGTTTTCTTCATTGGCCATGGCATTGTAGAGGTCCAGCATAAAAAGAGGTGCAGAGGACGCTTGTTTTCCAGGTGAAAATGGTCTGGGTCTGTGAGGCAAACCCAAGATTGAGAGAATTTCCCTTTGTATTTCCCGTCTTTCATGGTTCCGTAGTCTTCTATAAATAAAGCTGGAGTGAACATGATTGTCTCCCAAACCTCCTTTTGCATAACCCACTAGAACCCAGCAGCTCCAGAGGAAACCCACAATACCCTTAAGTAAAAATACAGTCAGATGCATTTTTGTCCAAAAGCAAAAGTTGATATTTTTAGTCCTTCTTGTCGTCTTAAAAAAAAAAAAAAAAAAAAAAAAAAAAAAAAAAAAAAATAGGTTTCTAGGAGGTACACTTTCCCAGTAGCAGAAAAAATAAATTTACCTATTCTTCATGACAGTGACATTTCTGAGCACAACATCCCCACTGATTTTCCTGTCCTATTTTAAATATTTTGGAATGTGTCAGGAGTAGTTACTTCTAAGAAAGCCGAAACTCAGATTTCCAATTATCCACAGTTGTTAAGAGTTTTTGCTGCATTGATGTAGCAGAAGACGGCTAATATTATTTGATCAGATGACCTATGCATTCCTATACGAATTTATGGTAATCAGGCCTTTGGTATTTGAATTAACAAAAGTTGATCTTCTGATAAACTGTAGTTCCCAAAGGTATCTTCACTTGCTCTTGAGTTCTTCTCAACCCTTGAGCTCTTTCCAAGACAAATCCTGATTTCTGAATCACAGATCTATGCTGATCTGCACCTTGGTGTTGGAATATATATCTGTCCGGCAGCCTGGTGATAACTTTAACATCTTTTGTGTCGTCTTAGTGTAAAATAATACTCTAGGTTGTACTATTCAAGTAAATGTGTTTCCCTGAATTTACTTAAAATCCTTCCTGTAAGTCCATTCAATCCCTTTCTCCTTCTTACTGTTAATTCCACCTCCAGCAGGCACAAATATACCAGCCCTCTTCAAGAGAGATCTAAAGAGTAATGTAAGCACAACCCTGCTGGGAAAGAAGAGGCTTCTCATTGTAATTTGAAACTGGTAAAGCAAAAAGAACTTAACCCTTTTGCTACCAGAAAAGTCTCCATTTTCACAATTTTATAACCACGCATCTAACAAAGAACAGTGATGCATGGGGCATACAAATTCCAGGGGAAATAAAAGGCAGTTTTCAGGTAGTACACTGAAAATTTTGCCATCCATTTTACACAGCACTTCTTTAGATCTTTCTTTTCTAATGACATGTACTTAATACACTTCTGTATTAAGTCTCAGATTGTGCCTAAATTAGCTTGATAAATCTCAGTTCTATGTTCAAGACTATTTCTAGTTTTTATAAGTCATTAAAATACACTTCTTAAAAAATAGAAGCATGGGTTGTAAATTGTGGTTAATTTGCTGTTTCTTAATGATAGATTCTTTAAAAATAAAATACAGCAGAGAATTAATCACTAATAAATATATTCTAGCTGCCAGTTTAGTAGTTGTAATAATTCAGTAAGTGATTAGATAACCTAGCTTTAACTATCTTTACGTATTAACATTTTAAGCAGAAAAATGTATTCATATTTTTTTATTAAATCAGTAAAGTTGAAATACAAACATCCTAAGATGTAGTGTTGTGATTCATAACTTTTAAGTCATTTCAGTTGAAATACACACAGACTTACAAATTAGGTATTTCCCATAAATTGTACTCAGTACTTTGTTTTAACCCATGCAAATAAACACAAATCAAATCTTCATGACTACATGCAGATTGAAATTTGAGTGTTTCAAATTTGATGGGTAAAATGGGGAAAGTGCACCTTTCTAAAATACCATACTTAATCCAAGGAAATGAGCAAAGTACGTGTTTATCCTTTATGTTTAATGCCTTTAAAATTTGGAAGTCTACAATGTTTTTGTGCAGCTATAATTTTCCTTACAGGCTCTCACTTAACCTTAGGGCTCACAGTACTTTCATTGTCTGGTATAGCATTCTGATACCAATGTAAATTTATCGAGCAAATTCTAGAGCTGTTATGAAATTTTAATGTTTTTCCTTTACTCTACTTAGAGGCGCCTGGTTTCTTGTTTAATTTCTTTTTAAATATTTCCTCTGAGTGTATAAAGAAAAGTCATATTTCTCACAAGTCTTCAGTTATTGGTGAAGGCCAAATACTGAAAGGGCTTGAAGAATAATATTGTATGCATCAATTTTATTATACAAAGTTATTACACAAAAACTTGATGTTGCTATTTAATATCTGCTTTACTTAAAATTATTTATTACTAGTTACGTAGGATGCCACAGTAGCAGACCCAAATGCTGACATACATGGCATACCCTTATAACATGGATATCACAAAGACTAGCAGTAGTGCAGGTTAAAAGTAAGTTAAGAAATACCACTTCAAAAAGAAATAGTTTAAATTGCTAAAATTCTTCACATTGCTTATTTAACAGCCAAACCAAGCTAAGAAACAAAGTTAAATCAATTAAGACAAAAAGTTTCTCTGCATTTATAAAGCATCCTAGATAAAGGAGGCTACAGTTCTCTATATTTTAAAATAAATCATCAAGGTTATGAATTTGCTTCATTTGTCTCTAGAGCACAGCATAGAGTTACAAAGTAAAAACTGACCACACTAGAAGAAAGAACTCTTATTATCTTCCATATGTGCTAATTTTTTTCTAAGATACATGTGAAAAATAAAAATGAGACAAGGCATCACAAGTCTTGAAAACTCAGTTTCCCAAAGCATGATGTATAATATCAGTCCATGTAATTATAATTTAATTGCTTCACCAGGCAGATAGCCTACCTCTATATTGGAAATCAGTTGCTGGTATTCTTAGAATATGAAGTAATCACTCTCCCCACCGACCTTCCCTTCCAACTCAGACTAGATTTGGCAAACATTCATTTTTCAAAAAGATCAAAATGTGCAAAGAAAGAAAGAAAATAAAGAAAAAGCCTTCCAGGAATAAAGAGGAAATAGTAACCACCAAACCTGAAGTAAGATTCATTTTCAATTAGAAGTACATGTATTTTACCCCACCCTTTGGATTCTCAGGTAGACTTGTATGTGAGAACAATTTGAAAGACAAAGTATTTTGCAACTGCAAATTATAAAGGGTCCAAATTTCAGAGTACGTATTTCAAGTTGAATAAGGCATTGAACATACGGAATAAGCATATGCTGAGAAAGAAGACATGGGGACGGGAAAAACACCCAGAGCATGACAAAAATTGTGTCTGAAGATAAGCACATTTCAAGAAAAGGAGCCTTGTAAAAATCTACCTTTCACAATGTAGTATTTGCCTGGGTATATTCGAATGTCAGTGACCTTCTGGTGAGAAACAGAGACACTGGAATCCATGTTAGAAGTATTTCTCCACTGTCATTCTTTCTGTTCATTTTTATCTTTCCCTCATTAAAATTTGACACATTTAGTACATGGATATATAAACCAACTATGTCCATGCAATCAATTTTTTTTTTCTTATTTAGCTTTTCAAAAGAAACTTGCTTCAAAAAAGTATGAAGCATTTAACTCTGTTTGGCTCTAGAAGGACCTTTTCTATTTCACTTTTGTTTTTTTGTTTTTTGTTCTTTTCTCCTTAAAAACATTTCACCTTTCTCTGTATTAGGAGAAAAAAACTTCCTAATAGAAAGATATGACTGCAGTAAAAGACAAATACCCAATGTAAATTACATCTGCTTTCTAAATTGTCTCTCAGATTAAAACGAAAGTCAAAATCCTTTGAACATGATCATAAAATCCTAAGCAAAAGCTATCTTAGATTGTGTTGGAGGGAGTAAGAGGAAGAGGTATAGAGGTAAGGCCACTTAGAAGGTTGAAGAGACTGGAAGCAGTGGGAGAATTTGGGGAAGGTGGGTCACCTTCTAGAATCTTTTTGGCAACTACATGCACAAATACGTAACAAAGCAGCATCTATTATATTAAATTGCTTCAGTTCACTCTCTTTGGTGAAAAACATACAAACAGAGAATATGGTGTAGTCCAAAGGAAGGCAGAGCAGTTCTACACCACCACCGTCTGACTTAGATTTGCCTATTATAACCCAAAAGGGACTGTAATCATGAGCAGCATAGGCTTTTGGTCCATGTTGATTACCACTTGTGAAAGAAATCTTGAAAATGCATAATAGAATACAGCCACCAAAAACTTTTGAAATGTTTGGTATTATTTTTAATGCATGGTGACAATACTGAACAGTTATAAATAAACAGAAGATTTTTCAATATGCTTTGTAATATTACATGTTCCTAAGATTATTTTTAAATTATTCCCTGAGAGTAGATGTTATCCTACCAATAGATTTAAGGTTATAAAATGATTATTTCAATGTAGTTATTAATCCAGGGAGATTTCTACTTTTTTCTTGAGATATCAACTATAATGCAAACTACATGAGAATAAGGGCTGAGTTTATTTTGGTCACTGGTGCAAAGGAGTACATATTAGTGGCTCAGTTAATATTTGTATAACGGTCTATTTTCTTAACAAAGATTAATAATGTTACAGGAATTTTTAAGGGCAGTTCTCTCTGAAGTAATAGTTGTAAGGATTCATTAAGCTGATGAATTGTTGAATTGCTGCATCACTTAGTAGGGATGCTCCCCAACCTTCTAAAGTTTCCTTTCATAAAGAAATGTGCCAATTAAATATCTTGCCCCAGAGTTATGAATCTAACTGCAAACTTCTGTCAATACTAGGCAATTGTAATGAATCAGAAGTGAAAGCATTATGTAAAGCATTACATTAGAACTTACAAAATACCTTGGTCTATCATTATAAGGACAGCCTATTGAATTAAAGTAGCCCTTGACTCAAATAAGCAACTTGTATTCCTGTCAGTTAACACCTGGTTCCTTTGCACTATAATTGCTTATTGTGTTTTGTTTTGTTCGTGCTGTTTTTATATCCCATATTACAATGTGAGAAGCCCTAAAAATGACTATTTTTAGCCGAACATTAGTAATTAACAGCATCAACAAACAAAAGGCTTTTCTACTTTTAAATCTTTAAGGAATTTCCATACTGTTTTTCATAATGGTTCTAAGAATTTATATTCCCACTAGCGGTCTAAAAAATGTTCCCTTTTCACTGCATCCATGCCAACATCTATTGTTTTTGACCTTTTAATTTTATGGCCATTCTTGCAGGAGTAAGGTGGCTCAGTAGGTACATGCAGACATGAAACACACACTAGACCCAGGGATGAGGTGGAGTCTGGAACATGGAAGAATGCACTAAAGGCATGTTTGTGAGTACCAAAGTAAATGCTTATAAACCCACACTATTTATACTTTTATAGATGGCTAACTCTAACTACAAGTATCTTACAAGTAAGTTGACCACATCAAAACCTGTGGTAGAGTGATAGTTCATGAAAGGCACAGCTGCCAATTTACCCCAAAAATTCCCATGAAGAGTATGTTGATCCTCAGTGAAAACTAAAATCTATAAATGTCACTAGTCCTGACATATTCACAATGAGACAATTTGAAGAAAATTTTAAAATTACCTAATGCAAAATGGCCTTGATGGCAGACTTACTATTATCTGTAATGTTTCCATTAAATGGCCCTACTGTTTCATAGCTTTCTTTTTTACTAGGAAGCAGACAATATTTTATAGGGTCGTCTTCAAAACCTTTAAGATAAATTTAAAGCCTAACAAATTGGTCCAAGATATATGACAGAAACCGTCCATCAGAAATATAAAGAACTTGTGTGTATGTCATCCAAAATCCATAAATATTCTGTGATATGAGAGAATATGGACTATCTGCTTCCTAAGACATAATACATTAAGGAAATATAACTAATAGTGGGGAACACAACAATAATTATTAATGTTCAAGCTGTACGTGCAAATATCCCTCGAACACAAAGGTTCTCAAACCAGGCTTCACATTAGAATCACAAACTGGAGACAGGAGGACAGTTTTAAGAAATACTAAGTGTGGGGCCACACCCAAGACCAATTAAATCGCAAC